ATTCCATGCGGGTGTATAAGGAATCTATGGCCGCGTCCGTCAAAGGTTTCACAACGAAGTACCTCTTTTTAAAGTGACGAATATACTCCAAATAAGGCCTAAAGAGTTTCCTAAACTGTTTGAAGGACACCCACGTTTTCCCTCCTCCAATGGATTGCCTTTGTAGGTGAAAGATACAGAAAAAGAGGGGCAGCGTAGCGCCTATTTACATATACTGGAAGACGAGCTCGAACGCCCGCATGAACGCCAGCGCGTTTGGGTGAAATTGAGAGGGCGCCAATTAAAGCCATTGGAAAACCCCCACTTGAATATCATTAAATGGAAAACGCATTCCCGCCTCTTTGAACTCGAACTCGTACATGGGAAAATGTTTGCCCGAATATGTTGAGCAGATCCTCCTGTTGCAATGAGGAATTTGGAGAATTCAGTTGGCGGGGCCCCCTTCGGCTCGAACCTCCGGACAGTTGAACGCGTTTGTTGCGTCATGCAAAAAGCACGACCTTTTATTTTGAGGCTCAGGCACGACCCAGGCCAAGGGGTCCTCCTCGACGATGGTTTCATCCTTGTAGTTGGTGGGAAAATCATCGTCCCCGGCCGAATGTGCCATTATATCTGAAAAGCAAGGGAAAATAGTGAATTCGACATCAACAAATTCATCCTTCCACTGCAGATCAAGTGAAAGGGCGATGAAGCGGTCGTTGAGCGAACCTCGACCTAAGCCCTCGACGGCACACTAAAACGGACTACACTTCTATTTGAGATATCTATCCAAATGGGCAAGAAGCCTGAGTCAACCCCCACTATTTGGGGAGATTGTCCCCGACATCATGAAAATTAAACTCATGAACTTCAATGAATATTCATGAGTGTTCATCCCATAACTCATGAATATTCATCCAAGATTCATCCAGTCAAAGCAAAAACTAGGTGTTTAATCTAGAAACGCTAAGGAAACACGTTATTAAGGGGATATGACTTACTTGGATGAAGGATACTTGGAAGAAATTTGGAGAAGTTGGGAGGAAAATATCCACGCGCGAACAAGGAAAGTTGCAGAAGAAAATTTGAGAAATAATAAATGAAACCATGGGGTCCCCCTTTTTATAGGTAGCTCACACCCCACGAGCTTCTTAACGAAAAGTCATCATTGGATTGGGCCTTTTGGACTCCTCATGAAAAGATGGCACCCTAAAGCGACAACCACGTGGCCCAGCGATCAACCACATATCCATTCTCAAGAGATGAACACGTCCCCGACATCAACGCGAAACGTCGTACATGAGCACGATCCAAACGTTTCACACGGAGAAATGCTCGACACCGTGGCTAAAACATGCATACAAGCATATTCGTCGTGATCCACCTCGTGGGCGAAATAACGCTCGGCCGGGTAACAACCCCTTGAAGACGGGCACGTCGAAAAAGAGTTCGCGGAGGCTCCCCGTAGCCTAAATACTCCCGTCGAACACTAGACAAACAACTGACCCAGTCGGTCTCACAACTCGCTTGTCCACGAGATCCTCGACACGGTCAAACAGGTTGTCCCCGACACGGGAAATAACTCATTTTCGTTAGAGTACTTCGACCTCCTTCCTCGAGCAAATTCTCCCCGACCATAAAGCTGAACTTAAGTCATCACCCTTTTCACCTAAAGGCAATAATTTGGGGGCCTCCTGATCTGGACTGGGTCCACACTTGTCCCACAGTTGGGGAGATCCAATCCAACACCTTTGTACAAGACCCAAAAGTAGACGACCCAAGTTGGGCACCGTTGGGCAACTCCCTATGTGTCCGTTGGGGAACGTGACCCTCGTGCCCTTATCATCACCACCTTCCTGCCCTCCGAGAATATCGGGTCCAACTCCTGCTTTCTTGGGACAGCCAACCAGGGGAGAGGCCACGTACTGGCCTCCATACACACGTAAGCCCTGACAGTCATTTTTATTTGGCCTCATCGTGACTCAATAAAGAAGACATTGACTCAGTGTTAGGGGCTATAAATACCCTCTCATTTGAGAGGGTCACATATTCATTCTTTTATAATCATACTCACACTTACTTGCACTCTCCCTAAAACTTACTTTGACATCGAAGTGTCTTGCAGGTACCCCATCTCACTTTCAACCTCAACTCGACGTAAGGCCTTGATGATTCATTCTGATCAAATACGATCACAAATAAATATAAATTTAATAGAATATAATTTTGTCAATAAAATATTTATTATTTTAATAGCTCACAGATAAGGAGACCTAATTTATTCCAAAACAGTTTCAAATTTAGAATAAAAAAAAAAACACGCCTTTGAGACGCAAGTTCTCTACCGCCAGGCCAACCACAATGAATTAATCAATTATATTATTAATCTTATATTTTATTTAAAATTTACATAATAGCTACTGAACATGAAGTAATAATGACTCTTCATTCTAAATAGAATTACTAAGCAATTATTATAATTAATAAAAATAAAAGATAAATATCCTCAATGTTAAAGTCTAGTGGTTTGATTAAAAAATAACTTATGTCAAATTTCATAGTCACATTCCCCTCAACATATTTAATTAAATAATAGTGTTGTTTACTTAAAAATAGATCACTTTTACCTAATAGATAATTACTATAAAGTGCAAATAATATCCACTTATTTAAATAAATAAATAAATACATAAGGTGAGTAAAATTTATTTATTTATTTGGTTGAGGGAGAATAATAATCAGCGGAATGTTTTGATCGAGAATATAATCCATATAATAATAGTTTAATATATTTCAATTTTTAATTGCCCACGTGAAACCACTGCCGCGGATGATTTTAACGTACGTTACCACGCTTCACGCGAGCACATAATGTATAAATAAACTTCATACTAGTGTAATTCTTTTTGTATAATTACTGAATCATAACAATTCACATCTATATATCTATATACTTTGAATGTGATTAAAGTAAAAATCAATATATTTAAAAATCAGAGAGTCATTAGTAATTGATAATGTAAAATCATTTTAAACTGTTAATATATATCAATTTAATTTAATTTTTTTATTTCGATACGAAATAATAAAAAACACATGTTTAAAAGTGTACTATTATACTAATAAAGTGGACAAAGCCGTCACAGCGTACAAGATTACTGTTGCGCAATCTAAAAAAAAAATATCAAAACTTGTAACCCTATTCATCATAAAATGTAGGGGGTATGTTAGTTAAACAAGTACACATTTGAACATGCTCTTCATATCAATTTTTTTCTTCTTTCCTGAATACACATTTTTCTGTCCTTCTTCTCCTCTGATGTTTAATGCTCAGCGGCTCCGTAACAAAATCATCATTTTGTGACAACATCATCACATTCACATGGCTACCTCTTCAAAACTACGGTCAGTATCTCTTTTGTGACCATTCACCGAAGACAACAGCACCTAGAATTATATTTTATGCAAATCATGTATGGATGCATTTCTAGTGGATGGAAATGTTTTGGGTTTTCTTCACTATTGTATTGATTTTTTTAAGTTAAAATGTGTTTTAGTTTTCAAGTTTTTTAATTTTATTTAATGTACTGTTTTAATCTTTTAATTAAAAAAATTAGAAGTTACTTAACTTCATTTCTCTTATTTTATTTAGTTCTTCTGTCGATTTCTATAAAAAAAATTAATAATAATATAAATGTATAATAAAATTCAAAGTTTAAATGTGATTAATTATTTATATTATAAAATAGAATTTTTACTTAAATAAATTAAATAAAGATGGTCATAATAAAATTATATTAAATAAAAATTCTATTTTATAGTATTAATACCAAGTCACATCTAAATTTATAATTTTTTTGTATATTTATGACACTAAAACTTAACTTTTTTTTAATTAAAAATTGACTAAAAGAATCAGATAAGATAACATAAATGAATTTAAGAGATTAATTTATAATATTTTTAACTAATAGATTAAAACGAAACATTAAATTAAATTAAAAAGAAATACTATTATTAAGCCTAAAATTAATTTATCAGAAAGAAAAAAAGCAGATATTGACTTAAATATTTAAGTGTCACACTCATAGTATACTGTGCCTTTTAGTTTTGAGACAATTTAAAATATAATATATTGTGTTGCATAAAAGAATGTATTTATTTAATTCAAAAGTCAGATATTGGAAAGAAAAAGATTAAAGTATTAATATAATAGAAATAATTAATTTTAGTTTTCTCACTAACAAAATATAATCTTGCGAGTATAGTCAGGTTTTTGTATTTGAGTGTCATATAAGAGTAAGGTTTGCATTTTTCTTTGAGGTGCAAACATTATTGTTGTTTTTTAATTTGTATGAAATAATAAATTGTTAAAATTAATATAGAATATTAAGGAGTCCATTTATTACTAGTATCTGATATTGTAATTTTTTTTAATCAAATTCAGCATCAATCAGTGTAAGACAAATTAATTATTATTAAAAAGAAAACCACATTTTAATTGTAAATAAATTTCATCTGTGAAGCAGATACAACGTACAATCAAAATTTAACACATTTATGTTATTGAATGGAATCCATAGGACAGAGAAGAATACTTGTAACACTGATACACACCAACGTGGGAGATGGAAGCTCCTTAGGAGAGTACTGACGGTGGATGAGCCACGATCGTATCATTCGATAAAAACCCTAACGTGGCAGATCTTTCACCACACGTACATTTAAATCAATGATCCCACACATACTGCTCACTTTTTCAATTCTATAAATCACTTCAACACCTCTCTCATACTTTTCACAAAACCACCAGCAGAGGTCGTTTTTGCAATTCTTCAATGACAACGTTCAATCACAAACATACATTACCTTTTCTCAACCACATTGTCTAGTCTCATTCTTAAACTAACTAGGTAGATATCATTTATTTATTTATTTACGTTGTTGTTTTTGTTTTTTTGTATAATATTTTACTGCATTGTTTTTTTTAGCAGGATAAAATAGTAGACACTAGATTAGATATGGGAAGAGCTCCTTGTTGTGAGAAAATTGGATTGAAAAGAGGAAGATGGACTACAGAAGAAGATGAGATCTTGTCTAAATATATTCAGGCCAATGGGGAAGGGTCATGGAGGTCATTGCCCAAAAATGCGGGTATGGATTTTAGATAACTACTAAAAAAATACTACTATTTTTGTTCAAATTAAATATTTCCTTTTTTATTGGAGGGACCAGTTTTAATGAATGTATTTTGTTTTAATGAATACTTTTTTATTAAATATTTTACATTATTAATAAATTACAAGCAATCATTGTATTGACTTTTAAAAAGATATGATAAATATAAATGTTTTTAAATGATTAAACTATTACAAATTTTCCTAATATTATAAAAAGTCTTTATATCATTATAATTCAACTATCGTTGGTAATTCAATTTCTGATGGTATTTTTTTATGTTTTAAATTTTAATTTATTGTTAATTTAGTAATATTTTTGTAGTTTTTATTTTTGTCTCTTTAACTTGAACAAAATTTATTTTAATTTAGTCTAATTAATTAAAAATAAACTTTAAAATTAATTATTAAATTTGTCTGCAAAAAAATATAATATAATACATTTTGAATAATTAAGAGATAAATTTTTTTTTTTAAATTATCCTAGCTAAATTAGATTCAAAAATTAATCTATGGGATCAAGGGACCAAAATATATTAAACCTTTAATATTTTTTATAATGGAAGTTTTGGAATAAATATTGATTAGGTTTTTTTACTGACATGAGTATTTGGAAATTTGAAGGATTGTTAAGGTGTGGGAAGAGTTGTAGACTAAGATGGATTAACTATTTGAGAACTGATCTCAAAAGAGGGAACATTTCTGCTGAAGAAGAAGATACTATTGTAAAGTTGCACACTACTTATGGCAACAGGTAAGTGAAAGTGTTAATTATAGATTAAAAAAATAACTTAAAATATAAGTCTTTTATTTATGATCATTTTTACCCACGTAAGTTGAGTGTATGTCTTCATTTGTAATGATGTAGATAGAGACAACTATCTATAATATGTGAATATTGATTTGTTTTTTCAAAATAAACCCTAAGATTAGTTACATGACACAGTAATATCGTACTCAATACTTATATAATTATAAGCTATATTTATAATAATAATTGGTACTTTTTTTCCGATATTATTTATCATAATTGATTATTTTACAATAATAAATAAATAAAAGAGAAAATAATAATTTTAATAAATTATCTTAATTAATTATTTATGTGTTTAAATTACAATTAATGTTAAATAAGAAAATAATAAATTTGAAATATTTATTAAAAAATATAATTAAAAGATAAATATAAAATTATATTAATAATAAAAATAAATATTTTAAAAAAAATTCTCTTTAAATATGACACTTATTTTGATGGCAGAAAGAGTATTTTTTCCTCAAAAAATAAATACTCCATGAATAATAATCACATGTAGCAACCTCAAATAAAATAAAAATAATAACTACTTTTCAACCCCACCCATCATATACGTCCAAATATGAATTTAAGAGTTGACCTTAGGATGTGGGATATTTATTTTTACTCATTGGATATTCCAACGTAGTATGATATATGAAAATTAATTTTGAATATAAAGAAACTTTTAAATTTTTTATTTTTATATATTTTACTCTTGTCCTAGTCTAAAATTGTGTGGTTAGTTGTTCCTCGTGACAACTTGTCATTGGTTCCAAGAAAACTGGAATATTATTTTTAAAAATATATTTCTTTATTAATTATTATAAATAATTATTTTTTTAGATTTATTAAATAATAAATATATTTAATCTTTTATATAGATCAAATATATTTATTTCTCAATGAACTTAAAAAAAGAATTTTTATTTATATAATTGTTTAAATTTTGTCTACCAATTATATAAAAAATTCTGTCTAATTGTTTAAATAATTTTTAATCACATTATTTTCTTTTCTTTTTCTAACAAATGTTATTTAATATATTAATTAATATTTAATATTAATTATTTCAATTCATTATTTTACAATTAATTTTTATGTATTTTAATAATTCAATCAACAAAAATCTTAAAAATTTCTTTACATCTAATATTTATTTATATTTTATCCCGTTAAAAATTGAAGAAGAAACTAAAAAAAAAGTGTATATAGATCCTGTGCTAAATAATGGCTAAATTTTTTTGAAATAAAATAATAGAAATAGTAAAATTTTTTGAAAAAAAATAATAGAAATATAAATATTGTCTAAGATTCGGTGCCAAAAAAAAATAAAGGAGATAAAGTAGATGAACCACCGTAAAAGTTGCTCCCGTATTGTTTTGGCATCCCAAACATTATAATAAATATTATCACACCCACCTGCCTAAGAATTTGGTGAATCATTAAATGATACTACAACTAAGACTCCGTACACAATTGATTAAATTTCTTATCCCCCCATATCAAAAGAGACATCTTATGTAATTTCAATATTGTTGTTTGAAAATTTGGAAATGTATTTTTTGTTTGTATCATGTTTTATATAAAATAGATCAAATATAGTTTTATCTTTTAAAATACAAAAAACGGTATTGGAGATATACTTTTGATTTTAAATTGAAATTTTGTTTTCGATATTATTAGCGGGAAGAGTGAATTTTGTTGTCACATTGACATTTCATATATAATCGAAAGTATAATTTCGGTTTTATGGCGATGCATGTTACTTAAAACAGTAACCAGTATGGTCATGTTTGATCACCACAATCGGCAACAATCGTAAGATAGTGAAGATCGAGTACCGTTTGTCATCGGTTGACAAAGATGGAAAATTTGAGTTCATCAACCGTGAGTTGAAAATCGACGCTGATTTACAGATTATGTGGAATACTTTTGACTATTTTGAGGAGAAAGTTCTGATCGAACCAGATACGACTATAACAAGATCGGTCGATGATATAATCATGATGTTGCAACGTCCACCTAAATGTTGATTCGTAATATTTGATTTATATTTAACTCCTAAATATATTTGTTATGTTATGAATTGTATTGTGAGATTATGATGCAATTCGATAACGTTTTTTGGTTTCTGTAAATAACAAAATCGGAAATATACCTCCGATTCCAAATCAGAATTAAAATTTTGATTTTTATGTATATTTTATCAGATCTAGATGCGTACCCAAAATATACTTCCGATTTTGAAAAATATTTATAAAATTTCACGTGATATGTAAAAATGTCATAAAATAGATTAAGAAATTCACAAAAAGAAAAAAAGACTTAAACTAATATTGGTATATTCAGCGGCTGTTATTGATTTAAATAGCAAAATATTTGGCGTAAATTAAGTTTAGATTAATTAATTTTGAAAAAATGATTTTAACTAGGAGTGAGTTGATAGTAAAATAATTTATATTTAATTAAAGAGTGAGATTATTTAAAATATATTGATTTATAAATATAACAAATTTATAATAATATATTATATAAATTAGATTTATTGCTTACTATCAATCAATTCAACTAAAACATATAAAATGAACTACGCCATTCACCGAACTAAAAAAACAAGTTGAATAATAAATTTATATGAAAATATTATTTTTTAAATTATAAAATACCTTGTAGAGAAATCAAATATATTAAAATCAATAATATACTAGTAGAATATAGTGAAACTTAAATTTAGTTAAATACATTAGTTGAAAAAATATTTTGAGAAAACAGAATATATAGCTAAATTATGTTACGAATAGGGAATAAAAACTAAATTATGTAACGAATATACTAGTACTACCATATTGCAAAGAAAATACTGTATATTGATGATTTGAAGTTTTACGAGTTTTGTTTGATTTCCAGGTGGTCCATGATTGCTAGCCACTTGCCTGGAAGAACCGACAACGAAATTAAAAACTATTGGAATTCTCATTTGAGTAGAAAAATTTACTGTTTCTCCAAAGTATCCACAACTACAGAGACAAAGACGGTTGATATTCCTCCTCCTAAACGCAAATGTGGTAGAACAAGTCGTTGGGCCATGAAGAAAAACAAGATCTACAAAAAACAAATCACCACTAGTAGTACTATTACTCAACCTGATAATAAAGGGAAATTAGTTCATGACGTGGAAGTTAAAACAACACATGAACAAGAGAAAGAAAAAACAACCACAACCACAACAACAACAATGTATGAATTGTGTGACGACATCTTAGGATTGAGAGAATTATTAGAGGACATTAATGAAGTTAGTGGGGCGTTGTGCATGGAAAATTGTTTGCTGGAAACGTGTGGGTCTGTTACAAATTTAAGTGAAGAGAGAGAAATGATGGAAGAAAATGGAAGAGCAATGAATGATGATGGTTATGTGTGTATTAATGATAAACAAGCTTCATGTGATGAACCTGAGAGTAGTGTGAATTATCAAGGTTCGAATAATGAGGAAAGTGGTGAATGGAATTGGGAGAGTGTGATGAAGTTTAGTATTGAGGAGGAGGATGATAGTAGTAGAGAGCATAAAGAAAATCTTTTGAATTGGTTGTGTGAAGATGATGATTGGGAAGGGGATAGTAAGATGTTGGGAGAGCTGGATTCTCAGAAACAAAATGATTTGATTGCTTGGTTTCTTTCATGAAAAAAAAAAAAAAAACAGACAAGAGTGTTATTCATGTATGTGTTTTGTTTTGTTTTTTTAGTCTCGTGATTGGTTTTTTTAGTGTAGGTTTGTGACAAATTTGTTATTGTAGAATGAATAATGATTCGTGAGTACAAAAATAATAAAAATGAGTTGTGACTTTTTTGGATTGTTTAAACAGTGGATGGACTCGTCGTTATTGCACAATAGTCTAATTTTGTTAAGTACTGCTGCTGACATGAGTGGATGGTTAGAAGTTCAGCAGATGTGGAGTTGGAGTTGAAGACTTTATTTGGGGGGTATGGGCCCGAATCTGAATAGCTAGTTGTGATGGATGATTGGTTGTTTATGGGCGGTTGAACTTTCATGGTGTTTTGTCCCCTTTACATAATTATGAGATTCAAAATTTCATGCAAAATGACGATTTTGTTAGGGTAAGATCATCTCAATTTCCGAAAAGAAATAGAGAATATAATTATTAAATTTTTTTTATATATAAAATACATGTTACAAATTTCAAAAATAATATGAATCATATATCAAAAATATTAGTAAAAGAATTCATCATTTCTTTTAAAAAATGAAGAGGATCTCAACTAACTCAAATCCCTTTCATTTTCATTATCATCCATTTATGTGGTTTGATAATGGGATGGACAACACATGACAACTAGATTTTTTTATGAATGAGTTTAAAGTTCTCCAAATCAAAATTTTTTGGTTAAAAAATAAAGTTTTGAATCACTCAACACAATTAATGTTTTTATCAACTTGTCTCTCACATTATAAACTTGAATTTTATTGTTATGGAAGTTTCATTTTTTATTTTAAATTATATTTAAAAATAAATTACACATCCACTTACAAGGATATCAACTACACTTTGTTTGGTGAATAATGAATAAAAATGTGTCTATAGTCTATAATATAAGTTAATTTTAGATCTGAAATTACATAAGAAGATAATAAGATAAAAATAACTTTTCTTTCTTGATTCTTAAAAACTAACAGCCATACAATTTATATATCTAGAGTTTTTGAAATACTAAAATGGGCCATGGGCCTTTTAAATAAAAGACACAAACAATAATAAAAACTGATGCTAAACATATCTCTAATTTGTAATATAGTTTCTTAATAACACAAACAGTCTTTTCTCTCTAACGGGCCTTGCATTCTGCATAACAATACTCTTTGGCCCATAAAAAACCTTGTCTTCAAGGTTCATAAGTGACAAATTCACGGGTTGTAAGTGTTGAAGTGGGTCGGGTCCTCTAGGCGAATTGGGCCTGCCAGTGTGAGGAAAAGATAAATTATTGGGAGTCTTGAAAGTAGTGGCGTTGGAAGTTGATGCAAGCTATAAAGGAGAGACTTGGGAAGTGGAGCACGTGACATTATCATTGGAACAACGCGCGCGTGGCTGGTAAAGTGGGACAGGTGTCTGCTGACACTTGGTGTTAAAAACGGTGCACTGATCTATATTGTTTCCTTTCACTTGTGAAGTCCCTACATGCAACTTAACACTTTTCTCTTTCTATGTCTTCAAAACACTTGCAGAAACCCTTCTTGTGAACCCTGAACGCCGCACTTCCTTTTCCAAAAATGAACTCTTCTTCGTCTGTAAACAATTAACTGGTTCCCTATGAGTCATACTCACCACATGTTGGGTTATGATCTGAGTTGGAATAGTGTCAGAGTCTTCGTAAAGGATGCAGTCATTCAGTGGAGAAATTGGAGGATCTGTCTCAGGGTTGCGGCCATGGTGAGGTTTTAGGAGGGAAACATGAACTACAGGGTGAATACAAGATGAAGATGGAAGATCCAAGTGATAAGACACAGATCCAACGCGCTTGATTATTTTAAAAGGTCCAAAGTATCTCTTGGCTAGTTTTTGCGAAACGCGACGGGTAATCGTTTTCTGACGGTAGGGTTGAAGTTTCAACCACACAAAATCACCTTCTTGAAAGGTAAAATCTCGTCCTTTGAGATTTGCTTGTTTTTCCATTTTAACTTTGCTGATTTTCAGATGATGTTTTAACTGAGACAGGGTTTGTTGTTGATTTTGCAGAGCTAGATCGAGAGAGTCTGTGGTGGTTGTGCCTGTCACGTAATCTAAGAGCATCGGAGGGTCACAACCGTATAATGCCTTGAAAAGGGACATGTTGATGGCAGAATCAAATGAAGTATTATACCAATATTCTGCAAGAAGAAGTGCTTTGAACCAGTGACGTGGATGATCTCTAACCAAACACCGAAGCTATGTTTCCAGCAATCGATTTACCACCTCTGTTTGACCATCAGCCTCAGGATGGTAAGTTGTGCTATATTTTAATGTGGTTCCTTATTGTTTGAAAAACTCTCTCCAGAAATTGCTTTGGAACAACTGATCTCTATCTGAAATGATGGATTTGGGTAATCCATGGAGGCGGAAGACTTCAACAGAGAATCGAGATGCCAGAGCTTTTTTTTGGTAGAGATGCCAGATTTAGGTAGAGGTTGTAACAAACCTTTTTTTTGTGTCTCATATTTATTTTGTTGGCAAGTATTGCAGTTTTTAACCAAAGTTTTGACTGCTAGGCACATGTTGGGCCAACAAAAGGAAGAGCATAACCTTGCAAGGGTGGTTTTTACACCGGAGTGACCCGTTGTTGGTGTGTTGTGAAACTCCAAGAGTATTTGCTGACGAAGACTCAGTAAATCCGGTATGAAAATTCTATCCTTATAGTACAGAATACCATAAGAAAAATGAAAACAATTATGTTGTGTGTGTTGTTGAACTAACTGTTTCCCTACACTGTCAGTTGCATAAAATGCTCGGAGCATGGTTACAAGTTTCGGAATTGGGGAGGATACAATAAGAAACAAGGGCATCTCCACCTGAAACTTCTGGCTCAAAGCATCTGCGACCATATTTGTTTTTCCAGGTTTGTAAAAAATATCAAAATTAAAACCTTGTAATTTGGAAGTCCACTTCTGTTGTTCTGGTGTCTGAATTCTCTGTAGCAGTAAAAATTTTAAGCTCTTCTGATTAGTAAAAATATGAAACTTTTGGCCGATGAGGTACTGACGCCACTTCTTGACAGATTATGTAATCGCAAACATCTACTGAACATAAACTGAAGAGGATTGCATTCGAGGACACATTTTTTTGCTAAAAAAGGCTATCAGGTGACCCTCCTGCGACAATACGACACCAATGACGACACCAGACGCGTCTGTCTCAATTGAAAATATTTTTTAAAAATCTGGTAGCCTTAGGACCGACATGTCAGTCATCCTTTTTTTCAATTCTATAAAGGCTAAGTCAACCTTTGTACTCCATTTGAAATTAGTGAAACATAACAAATCGGTGAGAGGAGCGGCGAGAGTGGCATAGTTTTTAACAAAGCGTCTATAAAATCCAGTGAGGCCTATAAAACCACGGAGAGTCATGAGAGAGCAAGGAGGCGTCCAATCTAAAATTGATTTTACCTTTTTTGGATCGGGAGCAACACCATCAGCTGAAATCACATTTCCTAAGTAATCAATTTGGTTAACTGCAAAGACACATTTTGATAACTTGACAAAAAAAGAATGGGTAGCTTATAACTCAAACACGACCTATAAATGATGTAGATGATCACTAAAATTAGAACTGAAAATTAGAATATCATAAAAAAAACCAACACAAATTTTTGCAAATAAGGTCGCAACAGATCATTCATAGTAGACTAAAACATAGATGCATCATTAGTGAGGCCAAAAGGCATTACAAGAAACTTGTAATGTCCATCAAAAGTTCGAAAATTTGTTTTATGCGTATCTTCTGATGCAACATGAATCTAGTGATAGCCCGAGCGTAGGTCTATCTTAGTGAACACCTTAGTCGTACCAAGCTCATCTAATAGTTCATCAATAGTAGGAATATGTGTTGTACCCCAAAATTTTCCCTCTCATTTTATCAAGATTTCCCCTCACAAGACTCTTTGGACTCCAGACAGGATTAGGGTTTGCTCTGCTCAAGACATCTCCTTGCACTATTGACCTGAAATTAGGGTTTGGGCTTGCACAGGGATTTTTTAACTTCCAATGCTCAATGTGACTTTCATACTTCATGTTGGACTTATAAGCTTTCCCATACCAAGTTTCAAGCCTTGAATCAAATTCTTGCCCAGTCAATTGGACAGTTGACTTAGAAATCAACTGTATTCACTACAAGAAAATTAGTGTTTAACGACACAAAAATTGCAACAGTTATGTGATAACTGTCGTAATTGACATATAGAGACAGTTTTTACGACGGTTGACACCAACCGTCCCTAATATTTATTTTGCGACGGTATATTTAACCATCATAATATTATTATTACGACGGTAAAACAACCGTCGGCCCCCATTTAACACTTTTAACATTGATTTTTCACCAACAACTAGTCACGACGGTAAAATTAACCGTCCTAAAAGGCATATCACGACGGTAAAACACCCGTCGCAGTAAAAAAGTTAAAAATACCAAAAAAATACCAAAAAAAGTGAAGGGCCTTAGGAAAAGGTAGAACATCTCGGTCCACTAGAAGCAAGATCCATCTCCAACCTTTCTATTCCCAATCAACATTATCTCCTCATTTATACTTATGATAAGAGAATAACAGAAAAAATAAGATTTGGGATTTCATATGTCGTGTATGCCTTGGTTGCCAGAGGCACGGTGGTTCTGGCGGAGTTCAGTGCCGTCACCGGCAACACAGGCGCCGTCGCTCGTCGGTTACTCGAGAAGCTTCCTACCGAATCGGATTCCAGACTTTGCTTCTCTCAAGATAGATATATCTTCCACATACTCCGATCCGATGGCCTCGCGTACCTTTGTATGGCCAACGACACCTTCGGAAGTGAGTAGCTCGCCGTTCTTTTGTTTTCTTGATTTATTGTTTTTGACCTAATTGCTTTAATATCCAATTCTAATGTTTGTGCTGAAAAAATGATTATGGAAGGATCAGTATTCTTTCTAGAATGAAGATAGGGTTTACTTGGAGTGGTTTTGGTTAGTTTCTTTTGTTTAAACTTATAATGATTATATGATTGTTATATATTGAAAATGAACTGTGTTGGTGTGGTGAAATTGAAAAAAAAAGGTGTGATTGAAGTCTGCATCATTGTTTATGTGTTGTTAGTTAGTTCATCTATTAAGAGATTCAATTGTGTTACTGTTGGGGATGGAGCTGTGGGTAAAACTTGTTTGCTAATTTCCTACACTAGCAATACCTTCCCCACTGATTATGTGCCAACTGTCTTCGACAATTTCAGTGCAAATGTGGTTGTGAATGGAAGCACTGTTAATCTGGGTTTGTGGGATACTGCAGGACAAGAGGATTATAACAGATTAAGACCT